TCTCACGTCTCAGCTTTGTAGCCTGGACGGGCTTCAGTCACCACTCACCTTTCCCGTGCGTAACATCACTCCAGCCACCTCACGCCCCGGCGGCCCTCACAAACTTCATAGGCAAGTAAGTATTCAACATCATCAAAATTACGATGCTAAGAAGACTCAGCCTGGTGAAGGGCCAACTTGGGAAGTTGTGGCGGAGTCGGCACACTCGCCATTCAAGGGGAAAGAAAATCCAGTGACGGGGATGCTGGGGGTCATTGTTTTTTGAGCATTTACGTCGATGACATGAGTGAAACAAATCTGCCGTAGTACAATCCCAGTGCAACGTTGGCGCAGACGCTGGCAGCTGTCGTCAAGATGTACGTTGCCAGCGCGCAAGCCCACCAGATTCTATGCCCGTCACCTCAAGAAGTTTGAGTTGCACGCGAGACTTCAAGAGCCAATGCTCGGCAAACAAGGGGAACATCCAGTCCAGGCATCAGTCAACGGGGCGTGTTAACACTAGGCCAGCTGATAGCCAGCAAGCTTGCTGTGTGCTGGCCAGCGTACACATGCACAAACGCGCATTTGGACCTAGTCCTGGCTCAAAATCCATCTGAGACACATCATCTTCAAGATCTGCTAGAATTCCAAGCAGCCGTCCCAGCGGCAGCTGTAACGCAGTAAATGTGCACAGAGGTTGCGGCTTCTGCATCAAAGCACTTTGTGAATGGACGTGGATCAAACAGTCGTCAGTACCGTCACCTTCCCCTGACACACAAGTTCTCATTATAGCACATGCTGCCTCTGCGAGGGTTGAAGTTCAGTGTGCCAACAAAACGATGCTCAAAGGATTCTGCTAGCTGCAGGAGTCAGCTCAGGTGAAGGTTCTCTCCATGAATGGGATGCGGTACACTCGCTTGGCAAACGGCGTGCACCAGCAGCTGAGCTCACGGCCACTTTGCAAAAACTAGGATGAAAATAACAATGCACGGCCACTGACAAACTCACGTTCGCTATACATCCAGCACTCCACCAGCTACAGATGCAAGAAGGGAGGACTCCCTGTACATTGGATCAAACACACGCTGTAGAACAAGCATTATTTGGAAACTTGAAACTGCATAGACAAAGGTAGCTATCGCCAACTTGTTCTGCCATGATTTCTTGTACAGGCTGCCTACCACCGATCCGCAAGCCTACGAAAAATTCAGGAAACTCGAAGTTGCAGCCTGTTTCCTGGACAATGACAGAAAAAGAACTCTTGGCTCACGTCTGAGGCTAGCTACCAGTCTCATCCAAGATCACAGGGCCCAAATTCCCAGAGCGTACGCATTGCTAACAGCTTCTTCGGACTTCCTGGATCCAAATATGTCCGGAGTACCCGATGAGCAAGACATGGCGTGCAGGTTGTTGCATGATTGAGACATGTCAAGCGCCAGCCTGAGCCGCACCTGGAGCACTTTGGCAAACCCCAAAGGGAAAGGGTTTACAAGACCAGGACAAGGCTGAGCACCAGCTGGGGGCATCTGGATCCTCTATCATGCACCTGCTAGTGAGGCACACTTCGCCCCAGGGCACAGGACATCACGGAGACTGGCACTGGTCGGGCTCGTGAGCACGTGAGCACTGCAAGTACTGGCATCTGTCTCAGCCGGAGGCGTTTGGCAAGTGCAAATATGCCTGATGTCACTCGGTCAGGCCGAGCCTGCCGAGCCTGATGCTTCTCACTTCAACTGACGCAATCCGCTATGATACTCCTAACGAGGCCCTGATGGTTTTAGTCTGCTCGTGAATCGGCCAGGTGACCAACTTCCGTGGCCTTCCAGCGGCACTTGGCCAAACTGGCCAACAAGACCCTGCCAAGCAAAGACGGTTCTGTCATCCAGAATCGTCAAGACTTCGTCCAAAACTTTAGGTTTAGCTTCCTCTGCAGTAAGGCTGCCAAACTCACCAAGGACGTTTGCAGGAACGGCATGGCGCGTTAAACTTTCAGAAGACTAGCAAAGGCAGCTCTGAAAATAGTCGTATAGTCTGATGTTGCACTTGTATGTGAGAAGCGTGCTCGCTGGCAGTTCCTGAAAAACTTCAATTCCTACACTTGCAGCTGCGCACCGAACCAGGGGGGCCTGCAATGCAGCTGAAACATGATGACATGGTACCTAAGCTTCCGTGATCATGCCAACATGCATCTTTTGCTGCGCTCGCGGGTTGCGGCTAAAGATATGGCTCTGAAGATTCCTTCATCATCGTAGGAGTGCAGGAAGCACATCCCCGACACGCCATCGCAAGGAGAGTCTTACGTACAATATCTTGACAGGATCTCAGCTCCGTTGGTGGTCAAGCCTTCTTCTGATGAAGCATATGTACATGTACTGTACAAGCGGTCAGAGGCCTTCAGCAGAACCAGCTGTCCGGTCTACACGTGGTCGTATGCTCCCGGTAGGAATATTTCGGGCAGTACCTCTGTCGCAACGCAAGCCACACTTGGGGGCATGCAGGGCATGCAACAAGGCCCCATCCATCACAACAAGACCTTTGCACCCTCGACCTACGTTGATCCAGTCCTGAAGCTGGGACTGAAATTGGACTGTTTTGAGGCAAATGTATTGAGGCGAATACTCCTGCAAAACTGCTGTTCCAGCGCTACTTTCATCTACTTGCGAAGTGCATGCAAGAAGGGACATCATCGATATCGTTGCCAAAAATGATACTAGACTAGCGGCGCGAGCAGCTTGGCCCCCCGCTCACGCGCATGAGGTTCCCAAAGCTTGCGGTTTACTCCATGCTGTCGCCAGGGCTTCAGAGGCCCTGTCCAGTGAAGCACCTGGGCAATGAGCTGTTGAGCATAACACTCAATTTGGTACAGTGGTTGACATGGGCAACAGCAGGCACCAGGTTCTGATGACGATGCAGGGCCTAAAGCCTTGCGTAAAGCAGAGCTAATGCAGGCTTCAGTCTGTCGGGTGCCGGGTAGCCACATGTAGCAGACAGCAGCCAAACAAATTTGGGTAGGCTGTACTTGAGACGTGCAAATGGCCAGTTCTGACTGGGAAAATTAAGGGTTGTGGGGTGACTGTAGAATTGTACTTGTTGCGACAAGAACAGGCCAGTCATCGGAGTTGGTCACTCTGAGTCTAATGACAAAAGCAGACTTCCGAATTCATGGAAGCATGTTACAATGTGCATCAAGGCATGCACTGGCATATCAGGAAAACTCAATTCCTGAAGGCCTCCCCCCCGACAAGAGCCGCACCTTCGCTTCGGCAAGCCTAGGCCATGTCTTAAGTTGATTTCTTTTTCAGGAGCTGTGTCCATCACTACAAACTACAACACTCCGACTACTTCAATCAAGTCATTGACCTTGCAGAGGAGCGGATGAAATCTCACGGGAACCGCTGCGCGCCACCTTTGTGCTGAATTGCTAGCTGGAGGACCGCAGCCCAAAATTTCACAGGGCATTAAGTCCTGGTTGATGCTGCAGCCCTCCAGCTGCAGGCAGAGTTCCCAACGTGTATTGACTTTTACTGTAGCCGGCATCCTCATTAGAAAGCTTCTGCCAACCCTCCCTCAGGCCCGTTCAGTAGGGCCGAGCAGACAAATGCCAAAACCGCCTGAAGTCGGTTTGGGCAAGTAGACTGGCTTTGGACGTCTAGCCTCTTGGAGCCAGCGAAATTGGCCCAGATTCCTTGTAATCTCTGGGTGGTGATCAGATGGCTTAGAGCGAAAGCTTTCATAGCACAGAATTTGTCTCTGTCTCCAAGTCCGTCCCCCAAACCCTAATCCTCATGTCCTCTCAAAACGCTGGGTGTGCCACACATGCTTCGGGTAGTTGAGCCGATGTCCGAGCCCGTCGACATTCCAGGACCAGTGCAAAGACACCACCTGCCAAGAAGAAGTTGCCCCAGCATCTGGCCCTAGCCTCATGCCATGGGCATGGTGGCATGTGGGAATGCTCGCAGGTGCAGCAGCATGAACACTTGACTTCCCCTTCTACAGCAAGTGCTGACATTGCAATGACTCTGGGAAGAATTCCTGTCCTGCGCTACACGCCTTAGAACTCTTCAAATCTCGCCCAAAGCTGGACCACATCTTATGGCTTGACAAACACGAGGGAGGCATGAGCTCTGAAAAACTTGATTTGCCCTGGGCCTCGTCATGAAATAGAAGCAGAAGAGGTGGCTGAGAGCCATGCAGCCACAAGCGCCTACGCCTGGAAGGCTCTGAAATGAACGCTACAAGTTGGAATCTGGCTCAACCTGTTCTTGGCAGTAAACAGAATGGACAATCGCGTGTCATTGGCGATTTCAAGTTATGAGACAAATCGATGAATTAGATGCTTGCAGCCTTTCTTGGAGTCATTTCAAAGCTCGGTATGGGCCCTCAATTAGCATTGAAATGTCCCGTGATGGACACACGTTCGGTGTGTTTTGTGACGATACGAAGTCTCTAGTCACAGAAGCCCTGCATTCTGGCTCGCTGTTTGAGCTGACGCGCCTCGACGTCAAGTGCTGATAAGCCATGCGCGTTTCTCAAGTCACCCTCTTCAACATTTTCCGCCGAGGAGATTCTAAGGTTCGGTGAGTGGACCAAGGGGCATCACTACCGCCAGAGTATTTTCCGCTGAGGGCATCATGCCCTGAATCACCAGATTCTTGATGGAAGCTGGGCCGTAATTAATCGGTGAATTGGAGATAATGGAGCAAAAGCTGCTAGCATGTGCAATCAGATTCAGCTCAAAAGCAAGGTCGGTCATGTTGCTACGATGTTCAGGATCTCGGCCACGGGAAAGCCCAAGAGCGCGGCGAGTTCATCTGGATCCACTCAGAAATCAGCCGCGAGGCCTGTCGCTGCCTGTAGAATAGAGGTTGCCATTCGCATGGGCAAAGAACTGGCAAGCAGAATGCTGCACAAGCCGCATAATCACCGGTCAGATCTCTGTCCTGCTCGACTGCAGCATACCCGAAACTCAGGTTGTGGTATGTGTATAGCACGGCCCTTTAAACTACTCGCAGTAGGAGTGTTTGGGACGAATTTTGCCTCCAGCGGACGAGGTCGATGACCATGACGCCTGCCTAAGAGCATGCTTTGGATCTTGCCTCTGGACTCCCAGTTCTGGGGCTTATTCTCACTTTGACTGTCGTGGTCCTCGTCGCCATCGTTACTTGTCTTGTTGTGCATTATTAGTATCGTTACTGTTATCCTTCTTCTTCTTGTTGTTTTTGTTGTTGTTGCTGTTGTTGCTGTTGTTGTTGTTGTTGCTGCTGCTGCTGCTGCTGCTTGTGTTGTTGTTGTTGCTGGTGTTGTTGTTGTTGTTGTTGTTGTTGTTGTTGTTGTTGTTGTTGTTATTGTTGTTGTTGTCGTTGTTGGTGGTGGTGGTGGTGGTGGTGGGGGTGGGGGTGGGGTTGGGGTTGGGGTTGGTGTTGGTGGTGGTGCTGGTGTTGGTGTTGGTGGTGGTGGTGGTGGTGGTGTCGTTGTTGGTGGTGGCGGTCGCGGCGACGGCGGTGGCGGTGGCGGTTGTGTTGGTGGCGGTGTTGTTGGTGGTGATGGTGGTCGTCGTCTTGTTGAAGATATGTTCTGGTTGCTGTTCTTGGCCCCTTTGGTATGCAAACGCGCGAAAACTGGGTTCCCGCTCAAGCCGAATTTGCCGACCTTCGCAGTATTTCGTGGACGTTCGCAGCTCTGGAAGCACCAGCATCAGCCTTCAAAAGCTTTGAAACGGGCAGAGAACGAGTTCTTGCTGGAGTTCGTTCCGCTGATCCTGGCAGTATTTCACCGGACTTTGACAGCTGAGGACGTGCACAAAGCTCTGGCGCTAGCAGCATTTCGGTAGAAACACCCATGCCCAGACCATGACAACATTCATGTTCGAAGTGCGTACGATTACCAAAGCATGCAAAGCAAAACGTACTGACGTTCGTGTTCGAGAGCATACGCTAAAGCTACGCCGAGTTAGTCATTAGTCCAGGCTGTTGAGGAGTTCTGATTTAAGTGTACAGTCGCCCCTATAGTAAATTAGTCCAAGGATCGTTCCCACTAGTCCAAGCTGCACCCCATTAGTCCAAGAATCTCTCCCATAAGATCCCTTTGGTCCAAGCTGCGCCACACTAGTCCAGTGATCGTTCCCATTAGTCCAAGCTTTGCCCAATGCTTTGTTCGAAACGGAGGTGCTGCCAATTTTTGCTTAGCGTCAAATTCACGAGCTCACACCTGCCAAAAATCTTTGAGTTCCCATCTGAGGAAATGGATTCCAGCCTTGCTGTTTTGAAGCCGCTGGACGTGCTTCATGGGTCCTCGGATTAGCGCCTTTTGCCGGAAAAAACGATGATGCCCTTGTGTAGCGCCTCAACATGGGCCTCCAGGCTGCTGGGCGCAGGCTCTCTGCTACTCTCATGTTGCCACACGAGCAACCAGGCACTAAGTGCTTGATGAGACGCCTGCGAATAATCCTCTCGCTGCGAATCAAAGCCAAAAAAGCCTTTTGTCGGAGATGGTGGGGCTGAGTCCCAGTTGCACTGTGCTCCGTCCACTGTGCATACTAATGCCTTGGCCAGCAGCAAACTGCTCAATCAACCAGGCCTTGTCCCACTTATGAAGTGCTTGAAGCTGTAAAGTAAAAGCAGAATCGCACAATTTCCGTCCGCCGCAGCTGCCACGCGAATACGTGTTTTTGGTCACCGTGTTCGGGTTCTACTAGCTTGTTGCCACGTGCTTCAAAATCCTCCTCGAATAACATGCTTTCGGCCTTGTGCTCTAGCCAGCAGGTTTTGGCATCATATGTTTTCATTCCCGTGGAGCGCTCTTGCGTTTGTGATGGCTGTTGTTGTATCTTACCTTTATGATAATGCTCCTGTTGCTATTGCTATTGGCGTTTGAGAGATCCCTTTGAGAACAAAACTACCGCAGGCTTCCCAGCAATCCTGTAACCAGGGACCAAGGCATGCAAGCCTTGTTGAATGAGTCCAGTTCAATCCTCGAAAACTAGCTTGCTCCCAGCCAACACTTCGGAGCTTCCACTCAGGGGCCTGCAGGACAGCCTGAATGCTGCTACTACATCCTTTGTTCGTGAGACAATCAATTGACCCTGGCGAGCTGAGAGGCTGAAGATGTGTTTTGACGAGCGACGTTGAAGGAGGGCGCTTCGCTCGGCAGCCAATTCGGCACTGCCTGGAAAAGGCTCTGGCGGACTCTTTCGGGTTGACGGCAGTTGGCTTCGGGTCGGAGCTTTGGAGTGTTTTGAGCTTCCTGTCCTTCAGCTAGGTTTGGGCTCCAACTATTTCTTCTCCCCCCCGTTTGCCTGTTTTGGACCCTCCATCTGCCAAAGAGCAGTGTCTCAAGAATGTGCTGGAAAGTGTTAGGCTTTAGGAGCAGGAAGCCCTTCACATTTGCCTCAAATTGACAACATGCAACAACAGGACTCACTCGAACAGAACTTGGACAAGGCTCGCTTTTGGGCCCTGCCGTTATGTATGACACACGTCTGCTTCTTCCAATTCTTTGATTGCTTCCAGATTCACAATTCACATAGCAATCCCTTACCTGATCCTCTGCAAGAGACTGATGACAATCATGCAGGGCCCTTCCAACACCACTACCATGTCACATCGATAATTCCCCTGCACGGGGTGGCAGAGCACCCGCCTGTTCATCCCTGACGCGGCCAAACTCTTGGGCCCCTGCTGGCTGCAGAACGTCCACATAAGTCCGAAGGGGCTGGTTACCTCCTTAAGGTGCAGCGCATCACTACGGATACACTTGTCATGCCAAAATAAATGCCCGCAAGAAGAACTGCTGAGATTCTTCAGGACAGCTCCTAGTACCACGTGATTGCGAGCGGTTACTTACAACAAGCTGCTTGACGTCCAAAACCCCAGGAGCGGCACCAAGCAAAAGATAACAAAAAGTCCCAGGTTCGTTGCACTGCCGCCACCGTCCCAGGTGCACCGTTGGCAGTGCCTCAAGTATGATGAAGCCAACTGCCACAACAGACCCTCTTGTTGCGCTTGAGGAGCAAGGTTGCTTAAGGTCGGGCTGGGAGCAGCTGCTTACTGAGCACCACATTTTGTTCTTGCAGCCTCAGTGCTCCAAGCGCAGGGCTCATCTGGACACTGTAGAGCTCAGCAAGATCTCCCTTAACCACGACATCCACATCCAAATACACGACCTGCCAGATCGAGGTACCACTTTCCCCCAATCCCCTTGACACAGTTATCGCAAGTTATATCAGGACATAAAGGGGCAAGATTAGTGAGAAGACTTGTTAACACCGCCATCACTGCCAAGAAGGCAACATGCAGGACTCATTCACAACAAGGATCACACAACAGCATGGGCGCACCCGCGACAGAGCGGGCAGCAAGGTGTGAAGTGAGAAACGCGCAAAGTTGTGCCTCAGTCATCAGTCATTAAGTTTGAGCGCGCAGCTGCCACAACGTTGTATGGTCTCAGCATTGTGACCTCGCCATTTGATGTTAATGCAAATGCGCTGTGTACTGCACTGCACTCGTTTTGGTCTTCGTGGGCTTGGTGGCGGTAGGCATGCTTTTGCCCTGCACAGGCCCCCCACCCCATAGCGTGGCTCCAGCCCGCCAACTGATACAATTCCAAACCCACCTGTCTTGCCACAACGTAAACAGTCATTCTTTCAAGATAAATGTGTGCGCACTCCACGCATGCAAGATGTACGTTATTCTTGGTCAGTGGCCAGTTGGAATCCGGCTGGGCCTAAAATCTGGTTTGTTTTCATGCTGCCACTGCCGTGCACAAGTCTTTGAGCTTTGTGAGGGCTGTACCGGTCGCTGTAGATGATGGTTTGCAAAGTGTTGTAAGATTTTGCTAAGTGTGTTTTGAAAGTGTTCTTTGATTTTCAATTAGCGCGCTCTCTTCTACAAGGGCTGATTCCGGTTCCAATCGGAGACCGCACGATGCTGATGATGCCGACATCTTGCAAGTTTTCGAGCGTTGGCTGCAGAAGCAGAGAAATACATGACCCTCTCTAGGCTGAAACGGATGGCTTGCCTCCCGGGATTGGGGTTTAGGCTTTCGGCAGACCCAATCCTGCCCGCTATGGCTATGGCAGCAACGGCCTGTCATAGGAGGCAAAAGAGACCCCCAACAAGAGCCCCCCCCCCCCAAAAAAAAACAAATAAGGGTTCGGGCGAATAAGGGAAAATAAGAGCAAACAAAGGGAAAA